ACTGGCTGCTCTTCCAGGGGACCCAGGGTTCAACTCCCAGCACCCACATGGCAGCTTGTAGATGTCTGTAGCTCCAGTTCCAGGGGACCTGACACCCTCACACCAAGTCTCATAAAGTACATTGAAATACAGTATTTAAAAAGGAAAATTTCTCTGGGCCTCCACCCTTCTGTCTGAGTGCAAACGTCACCTACTTAATTGTGACCAGCCAGTCCACAGACCCTTCGATTCTGTGTCATCTGCAGCATGTGATGCCAATGCTTGCTTCTGGCCTGCCACCCTAGACTGGCAAGGACAGCAGCCTCTGACTTTGAGAAATCAGAGGTATGTTTTGTAGTAAAAGCTAATGGTGGTGCATGTCTGTGATCCCAGTCCTTCAGAGGCTGAGGCCAGAGATTGCCAGGAGTTCAAGGCCAGTCTAGGCTACATGGTGAGACCCTATTTTAAGAATAAAATTTAAGCTGGGCATGGTGGCACACTCTTGGTCCCAGCACTAGGTGGGTAGAGACAGGCAAATCTCTGTGAGTTTGAGGTCAGCTCTGTCTATATAGAGAGTTGCAGCACAGCCAGGGTTACATAGTGAGATCCTGTCTCAAAAATAAAAAGGATAAATAAGTACCCTAAAATAAACTAAATGCCATTCAACAAGAAGATTTCAGGAGTTTACACCCAGGACAAGGACTGGGGCCCCTCTCTCTGTGAACAGACATTGCTGTCTCTTTCAAGAGGTCGTGCATAGAATTCCGTCAGCTGGTCTTTACAAAGGGGCCTAACTCAGGCCTCTTCTCCCATCTATTCATCTACCTTTCATCTATCTACCATCCACACGTCTGTCTGTCTACCACTCACCTAGCTACTCATCCATTTATCCACCCAAAACTATATCTGTATACCCATCCATCTGCCTGTCCATCCATCATCCATCCACATATCCATCAACCATCCATCTATCCATCCATCCATATAACTACATGCCCACCCATCCATCCATCAATCCACCCACCCAGGTACCGAGCCACTCCTCCTTCCAAACATTCCTAAGAGTCCTTTCTGCACCACAGTCTCTGACATACACAGAAGTGACAAAGATACTACCGTGTCCACAGCCACCTCCAGTTATCCAGACTTCAAACTCCAATGCTTGCATTAGAAACTGCAGACTGTTGGCCTCTCTCAGCCTAGCTTGACAGGAGAGGAACAAAAGGAACAAAATAGAGGATCAGGTCATCTTTTTCTCTATATTCTCTATATCTTTCCCTGTATATATTGCTAAAATTTGACTCTCTCTTTTTTTGTTGTTTTGAGACAGGGTTTCTCTGTATTGCCCTGAGTATCCTGGAACTCACTCTGTAGACCAGGCTGGCCTAGAACTCAGAGATCCGCCTGCTTCTGTCTCCTGAGTGCTGGGATTAAAGGTGTGTGTCACCACCTGACAATTTTTTTATTTTAAGTATTTATTTATATTTATGTATGAGTATGTGCATGTCTATATGAGTGCCTGCCATGGCTGTGCAGATACCCATGAAGGGCATCAGATTCCATGGAGCTGTGAGCTGCCACTGGGTGTTGGGAACCAAACTTAGGTTCTCTAGAAGAGCAGTAAGCACTTGTAATGGCCATGCTATCTCTCCGGTCCCCTCTGAGTTTTTCTAATGAAAGACAAAAGAAAAATACATGCAGGTGTGCTCCCTGCTCAGCTCTAAACAGAAGCCCCCTCGGTGTAGGTGTGGTGGTGGCAGCTAGGGTCACAACGGCCTGTGCTAAGAGTGCAAGACGGGTGTGAGACCCTTGGTACACGAGGGTCCCCGAGTGTGCATGACGTGGAGTCCCAGGGTGGTTTGGCTCTAGTCTCTGTCCACCCCTATTGGAGGCCAGTTCAGCCAATCAGAACCTTCCACTCATCCTGGGGAAACCCAGACTGGCAGAGTGTTGAGAAATGGACAAGATAATAAGATGTTAGGGATTATATCTGCATTGTCCTTCTGTCTGTCTGACTGTCACACACTCTGCTCCACATTGCTGCCTGTGCCCCTTCTTATACACTGCTTCCATTTAGCTGCCTGTCTGAGTGACCCATCAGCCATCTTACACCCGTGTACCCAGCCATCATTGCCCTGCTCTCAGCAACCCATCAGCTGTCAGTCACAGGTTAGGTTAACTGCAGGAGGAAGATGTCCTGGTTAGTTTTTTTGTTTGTTTTGTTTTTGTCATCTTGACACAAGCTAGAGTTGTTTGAGAAGAGGAAACTTCAACTGAGAAAATGCCCCACAAACCTGTGGTGCTTGATTGATGTGGGAGGGTCAAGCTCACTGTGGGTGGTGCCACCCCTAAACTGGTGATCCTGGGTGCCATAAGAAGGCGGCTGAGTAAACCACGAGAAGGAAGTCAGTAAGCAGCACTCCTCCATGACTTCTGCTTCAGTTCCTGCTTCTGGTTCCTGCCTTGAGTTCCTGCTTCTGGGTTCCTGCCTTGGGTTCCTGCTTCTGGCTTCCTGCCTTGAGTTCCTGCTGATTTCCCTCAGTGATGGATACCTGAGAGTTGTAAGCTGGAATAAATCCTTTCCTCCACAAATGACCTTAAAAGGTCAAGGAGTTTTATTACTGCAATAGAAACACTGAGACAGAGGAATGACCATAAATAATGGTACTATCCCACGGGATGCGGGTCCAAACTGTACAAAAAGGAGAATGTGAGCTGAGCACTAGCGTTCATCTCTCTCTGCTTCCTGATTGTGACTGCAGTGTGACCAGCCACTCTGATCTCCTACTACCACGCCTTCCCCTCTACAATGGACCGTACCTTCCGCCTGTGAACAAAAATACACCTTCCCTTCCTTAGGTTGTTTTGTCATGGCAATAAGGAAAGTAACCAACATACCTTCCAAAGATACTTATTAATCATTAATTCCCCACCCCATCATCTACCCATTATTTCTAAGCACTAATCCAAACTATTGTCTATCCATTCATTTCACCGCAAAACCACTTGTCAACTATCCACCCAACTTTCTGTTCATCCACGCACTCGTGATCTCTCCAGCCATCCGGCTCATTACTGAACATGGGTATCCGCCCATCCATGCATCTTCCAATTGCTCAAGTATCCATTCCCTTGAACATGCACTCACTCCTGACCCAACTGCTTAACCATCCATTCACACGCTTGTCCAATGGCCATGACCCACCTGACCACCCGCCCAACCATCTCCAGCTCTGGGAAGTGTAGTGTTAGGTGCCTATCATCACATGGCTATGATGATGTTCTAGTTTGCTTTCTGCTTCTGTGCAGAAACCCTGACCTAAAGCAATTTAAGGAAGGAAAGAGTTTATTTGGCATACACTTCTAGGTCACAGTCCATCACTGAGAGAAGACAAGGCAGATCCCGGGAGGCAGGAGCTGAAGTGAGATCCGTGGAGGAACTCAGCTTACTGGCTGACTCCCTGGCCGGCTCAGCTACCTGACTAGGGATGGGCTGGGCCCTCCTCCATCAATTAGCATGCTCACAGGCCATTCTGACCTGGAAGATTCTTCCCCTGAGGTTCTTCCTTCCCAGGTGACTTCAGATTTGTATCAAGTTGACAGCTGATGCTATGATGCACAGCCTGTGATCCTATAGGACCACTGTTGTGTGTGTCTTCCTTAGTCTACTGAAATGTTCTGTAATGTACTTCAGAGACTAACCAGGAAGTGGTGTCTCCCACACTTGCTGAAGCCTTCTGGTGGCTGATCTTCTAGCTCTGAGGCTCCCATGACACAGTCATCTCCTTCAGTATGGCTTCAGAGACCCTGGATTTTCCTTCTCGGAGGAGGCCATGTGTCTTTGCCTAGTGTCAGCCAGGTGGACTTGGGCCTGCACAGCGACATACTCACAGTGTCCTCAGTACCTTTCTGATGTCCTTCCTACCTCTTACACTGGCTCATTAACCTACTTCCTGTCCTCTTCAAAGCCCCATGACTAGATAGATGGACACTGGCATTATTGGAGTGCATTCGGCAGCTATGTCCCCAGTTTGTTTGGTGATAGTTCACCATTGCTGGTGGCTTTCCTTTGTGGGACAAGCCCCTCAGCTGTCTGTCTGCTCATGAGCAAGTCGAGCCAGGAGAACTCGAGTTCTTGGAAAAACGTCGTATCTGATTGGGAGCATTCATTAAAGGAAGTTTAGAACTTCAGCGACAGTGCAGTAACAATTTGTCTAGGGCTCTCTTTACCCCCCAAACAGCCATTTCCTGCACTCAACTGTGTCTGACTTAATATCCTCGTGACCAACAGTTGAAACCTTTTGGAATGTATTTACAGAACGCTGGCTTCCACCAACCGGAAAGCTATGCATATCACCAGACAGCACCTGAGGCCAGCAGTAGAGGTGAGGTCGCCATACCTCACTCTGCTGTACCTAGCTCTGAGGCAACCGTCCACCTGATGCTCCCACCAGTGTGATTCTTTTTTTTTTTTTTTTTTTCGAGACAGGGTTTCTCTGTGGCTTTGGAGGCTGTCCTGGAACTCCCTTGGTAGTCCAGGCTGGTCTCGAACTCACAGAGATCCGCCTGCCTCTGCCTCCCGAGTGCTGGGATTAAAGGCATGCGCCACCCACGCCTGGCTCCCACCAGTGTAATTCTTAAGATGTCTGAGTTTATGACCTTCTTTGTTCTGTTGTTATGAGACTTGGTGAAACTGTCACCGTGTTGGCAAATGGAATTTGGAGTAACCTACTATGCACCCCTGGGCCGTGGCCACTCTTATTTGGTTGCAGAACAAACTGTCTCTTATATATGTCCTTTGAGGTGAGAACTGTGTGTTTTGTTTTAATGTCAGCATCCCTAAGTCCAGCTTCCTGGACATTACATGGCTCAGATTTGGTCAACGAGAAGCAGATACTGTGTGCTGTGGCTGAGACCCCTCCCCCACTTCAAGTTCAAACTGGGCTTTGTTTGTTTGCAACTTGAAAATGCCAACATGCAGAAGCCTAAACAACGGGTAAAAGTCACCACAATCGTCCAACTTCAAATGTAAACGTGGTTTTATTTAATGCCTTTATCCATCATCACAAAGTACCTCTTCCTTCCCAGGGTCCCACTTTTCCTACAAAACAAGATGGCGGCATAAGGCACGCACACTGTCCACATGACACCAGGGAGGGGCTTGGAAAATGAAAAGTCAGCCAGAGGTGTCCCCACAGCCCTACCTTGCCTCCCTCACCGACGTCCAGAGAAAGATTGTCCCTGAAGCAAGCACAGGACTGGGAGCCACCCCTCAGCCAGTGTAGAACCCCAAACCAGACTAACTCTCAAGAAACCACAGCGCAGGGGCCAGCGGGTAATGTGAATAATGGGACCAGTCCATAAATTAAAAAAAGAAAACAGGATGAGCTGCCCCGTGCCCCCCGAGCCGACGCTCCCTCATTTGGGTCTCTGGGTTTCACAAGACAGCCTGACTGTCTGTCCTCAAGCGAAGAGGACACTTCTGAGGCGGCCGTGGGACGTGTCCCTTGGGTGGAGGGCCCCTACCCAGTGTCCGGTGTCTAGGGCTCTCATGGAGTGAGAAGACGGGGCCTGGGTGGCAGGTGGTGGCTGAGGTGGTGGCTGCAACCCTCACTGCTATAGATACTCCAGTTCTAGGGCGTGCCTCAGAGCCTCCTCACTGCTATAGATACTCCAGTTCCAGGGCGTGCCTCAGAGCCTCCAGGTCGGCGTGGCAGGATATCCTCCAGAAAGGCATGTTGTGCTACGACAGAAAGCACTGGTGATCAGACAAGTTGCCCAGACAGCCTGGAGGGTCCAGAGCACATCAGTGAGCCCCTGTGTGCCCAGCATCCCCAGAGAGGCCCAACCTCTCAGGACACAGTAGTCCACAGGCAGGTGCTAGCAAAACATCATGCAGGAATCAGAGGGAGGCAGCCTCTGGGTGGCAGTAAGGAGGCTGGGGTGGCCCAGAGGGTGGTGTAGGTTTGTATCAGCCTTAGAGGATGAGTGAGAGTTTCCTGCTCTGCTGGGGACTGAGGAGAATGGTGTCCCAGAAAGGGTATCCCCCGGGCCAGTGAAGGATGTCAACAGTCTTTCTCTATTGCTTTCCAACCTGTTTTTTTTTTTTGTTTGTTTGTTTGTTTGTTTGTTTTTGAGACAGGGTCTCTCATGCAGCAGGAACCACCCCTTTATCAGCTGAACCAACTCCTCGGCCCTGTGTGGTGGTCTTAAAGTTACACAGATACACTTTGAAAATACTTTTTTTCCCCATAATACCTGCAGCCCTTCTGGCATCTGGGCAGCGCCCTGATCTCCCTGCAGCCAGCCAGCCACTCTGTCCTGACCCCGTGGCAGCACCCTGGCCTGCTCACTCTAGGCGCAGAGCTTCGGCTCACTTCCTTTCTCCCTGCTACACGCTGCCCTGTCTTTGCTCACTTCTCAGCGAGGCTGCCCTGGCTGTTGCCTGAGCCTGCAATTTGTCCCCTCACCCACTAACCCGTTTCCATTGTCTATGTCACTCCCCCCCTGGCTCTGTCACCCGCCGTCTGTCATGCATTGCTGCACTCCTTAATCCCCGGTCTGTGTGCTGTCTGAGTGGTGGGTAGCATACACCCTTGCTGGGCTAACACGGCCCTCACCCTGGCTGGAGCTTCATGGGCCATTGCTCTGTGTTGCAAGGGGACGAGAGTAATTGGAAGAATTGGGAAGCTGTAGGCCCTAGGCCAGGGAACCTAGCTGAGGTGGGAGGGTATAGGCTGAAGTCATTCAGTCAGGGAGGGAGCAGCAGGGCAGCCTCCTGGGGCCTTACTTCTTCCTTTTCTCCCTAGGGACCCCTTAACACATTTGCATTTCCCTGGGATATGCTGAATGGAAGTGTGCGTGCTGGGGAAGCAGGTCCCTGAATTAAGCTTTATGACATTAACTCGGAGCTTGCCTGGCCTTGGGGTGGGGGTGGTAGCTATCTGGGGCGCTGTTGATAGGGCCAGATCCAGGGTCCGGGCAGCTGTTTCTTTTCTGAAAGGCCCCTGTGCTCTGCAGGAGGCTGAGATCACAGATGTGGAATTGTCTTTTTCATTAGCCTAATGCCGCCTTTATTAGCCGGGACGCGTTCTTGGAACCTGCCGCCCCTGAGCATGAAATAAAAGGCCCGCACGTGCACTGGTCCTGCTGGTCCACTGCGTCCCTGGGGTTCAGAACCTCGCCAGGATGCCAGGGGCAGCGGCCAGCGCCATAAGGGGGATTTGTGGGAGGAAATTACTCAGGATGCTCCTGGATCTGCAAATGTGAGCAGCCCTGGCGAGCAGGGCCTGGGACAAGGGGTGGGGGTGGCGCGTAGGCATCGCCGCCCGGGGCTCAGGTACCTTCTTGGCTCCTTGTTCTTCTTCCACTCCGTCACCTATCACAATGTAGACGGCTTTGCGGCCGAATCTCTGCATGATTCTCTCGAAGCAGCTCTCCTTGCCTGCGAGGTGTGGAGAGGAAGGAAGGAGATCAGAGCTCAGAGTCCCCACAAGCGGTGGAACAGAGTAGGTGGCAGCCATCCAGGGCAGCCGCCGCCACCCTGTCATCCATCCCACAGCAAGCTCAACACCGCATCAGCCTCACGGGAAGGCGGCCAACTCCAGCCACACAGAGAATTTAAGCAGCTTGTCTTAGGAAGAACCGGCTCAGGGTGGAAGGCAGGCCCCTGTCTACGGTGCTGCTATTTGGGCTTTGGCAATGTACACTAACAAAGGACTCGCTGTCCTGAGTTCAGCTCCTGGTATTGCAAACCCAAATCCAAAATGCACAGTGGTAAAAACGTTTATATTGTCGCCAAGTGTGGTGGTGCAGGCTTGCCATTTCAGCTGCTTGAAAGGCTGTGGCAGAAGAAACCCAAGTTTAAAGTCAGCCCTGGGTACCAGCGGGTTCAAGGTCAGAGCAGTCAACTTAGTGAGCTCCTATCTCAAAATACAAAGGTAAAACTAGGACTGGGGATGTAGCTCAGTGGTAGAACTTTTGCCTAGAGTGAGCAAGGCCCCTGGGTTCAATTTCCAGAACCACAGAAAATAATTATACTGTTGTTTGGCCACAATGAAAAATTAAAAAGAAGGAAAATGACTTTGCTGGTAAGAATACTTGCTGTGCAAGTATAAGGACCTGAGTTCAGATCCTGGCACCTATATAACAAACCATGCATGGTCCTATTTGAGTGCACGCGTACACACACACGCACATGCACTCATGCGTAAGTGTGTGCTTACAGGATAGCCAGGCAGGGCTTGCTGGCTGCCAGCATAGCCTAAATAAATAAACAAATAAGCCCCAGACCCCGGGTTTAGGGAGACAATCTGATTTAAAATGAAGTTAGAGGGAAAGTGATAGAGGAGACTTCCTGATGTCCTCTGGCCTCTGCATACATAGGCATGTGCATGTCCATGCACACATACATGTGAACATACAACACACACATACATCACACTTATACCTGCAAAATAATACGATTAAAAAATAAATAAAAATAAACCATCTCAACTAACTAGATTTTGTGTACGTGTGTGTGTGTGTGTGGTGTATGCGTGTATGTTTGGGTGGGCGTGCACAGGTGCACTTGCCCAAGTGGATGCTATGGAGGCCAGGGGTCCATGCCAGCTGTTTTCCAGGTCTCTTTCCACCTTTGTTTCTCTCACTGAACTTGGGGCTCTCCAATTCATCCAGGCCAGCTGTCTCTGCTGGTTCAGTGCTGGGGTTACAGCTATGCCTAGTGTTTTTTTTTTCTTTTCCTTTCTTTCTTGAGACAGGGTTTCATTGTAAACCAGGCTGTCCTCAAATTCATAGAGATCTACCTGCCTCTGCCTCCTGAGTGTTGGAATCAAAGTCTTGCACCACCACGCCCAGCCATGCCCAGTCACGCCCAGCCATGCCCAGCATCTGGACTCCAGTCCTCATGCTGCAGATTTAGCACTCTACCTACTAAGACATCTCCCCAGACCTAGGCTTGTTTTTTTTTATCTTTTTATAATTCATTATTTTTATTTTATGTGCATTAGTGTTTTGCCTGCATGAATGTCTGAGTTAGGTGTTTGATCCCCTGGAACAGAAGTTACAGACAGTTGTGAGCTGCTATGTAGGTGCTGGGAATTGAACCCAAGTCCTCTGGAAGAGCATCCATGCTCTTAACTGCTCAACCATCTCTCCAGACCCCTAGGTTTATTTTTTAGTTCTGTGCATTTGGGATGTAAGAATTAAAAAAAACACAAGCCAGGCAGTGGTGGCGCACACCTTTAATCTCAGCACTCAGGAGGCAGAGGCAGGTGGATCTCTGTGAGTTTGAGACCAGCCTGGTCTACTGAGCGAGATCCAGGACGGGCTCCAAAAACAATACAGAGAAACCCTGTCTCGAAAAACAAACAAACAAAATAAAAAATAAAAAAATAAAAAACAAACAAACAAAAAACTAGCCTCCTCATGAGAAAAAGAAAACCACCATTCCTTAGATTTTTCAAGGAACTCAGCAAGAGACTGCGAGCAAACAGGGCTGTTGATTCTTGTTACTCCAGACCTGTGGGAAAGCCCAGTTCCAGTCTTTGAGGGCTGTAAGGGTTGTTTGAGGTCTGAGTTCTATTGGCTCTGGATGAGAGTTCCTTTTATGTCCCAACCCCCGTCCCTCCTACCTGTTTTGGTCGCACTGTAGATGTTCTCAATGGGGAACACGGAGCCCAGGCCGTACAGCAGGACCTTGGCCAGTGCAGGGATCAGTTGCGTGGTGGTGACCAACACATTGACACAGTTGGGTCTGGGGACAAAGGCAACTTTGTGTCAGACCCAAAGGCACAACCAGGTCACTTCTGGTGTCCTGGTGAGTTAGAGCAGGATCTGGGGGTGATGCCTGCAAGAACTGGGGGGAAGTGTCTGTGGGTCCAGCTGGGTGGCCTTCAGGTGCAGTGATGATCATGGACAATGTAGCTGCTTCTGGCCTGAGGCTGCCTAACCTTGGTGTGCAGAGGAGTGGCTTCTTCCTTATTCATTCATTTATGTGTTTTTGGGACAGGATCTCACTGTGTAGCACTGACTGGTCTAGACCAGACTGGCCTCAAGCTCACAGACGTCTGCCTGCCTCTGCCTCCTGAGTTCTGGGATTAAAGGTGTGCCCGAGCTTGCTTCCTTCCTTAGAAGCAAGGATTTATTACAAGAACTGCAAGCTCGTTAACAAGGCTCCAGGTCACGTGACACAGACCAAGTATGGAACTGTGTGGACAGGTGAGCACTGGGTTCCACTCGACGGCACAGGAGTCTGTTCTGATCTTTTATAGTTCTGAAACTGGACGGCTACCGGGGCAAGAGGTCTTAGCTACTCACAGCAGGTGACCCTGGGTCTTGAAGAGTTAAGCTCTAGCCCACACTGGGAAAACATGCAACTGAGAGTTGGGAAGTCCCTCTTCGTGTGTCCTGCCAAGTGAGGGAGTGGAGATGTCACCACCGTGCACAGATGCGGGGTGGCCACTTGCCGAGAGTTGATGAGGTTGAGGGCCTTCAGGGAGTGGGTGAGCCACAGGTCAGTCAGGGCCTCCAGTTCGGCGCGCAGCTGCAGCCACGTCTCTCTTTTGGGAGCGCCTATCAAGCCTGAAGTAAGGGGAATAAAGAGGACGTCCTTATGTTAGAAAGAACTGAGGGAAATTAAGGGGGCTCAAATCACTCAAGGTCAACTCAAGTTTTCCATTCTTCTTCATCTTCAGAACATCCACTGACTGATTTATCCATCCAACATCTGCCCACCCAACCACCCATCCACCTGTCTAATCCATCCATCCATCCATCCATCCATCCATCCATCCATCCATCCATCCAACTAATCCATCATTCACTCATCCATCCACCCATCTAACCTACCTAACCTTCCATTCACCCATCTAACCCTCCAACCACTCATCCACCCACCCATCTAACCCATTCATTCACTCATCCACCCACCCATCTAACCCATTCATTCACTCATCCATTCACCCATCCACCCATCTAACCCACCCAGCCACTCATCCACCCGCCTACCTACCCATCCATCTATTCATCTAACCTGTCCACACACCCATCCACCTATATTTCAAGATTGTCTTCTATGTGCTTGGTATTGTGACGGACACTGAATATTCAGAGCTGAAGGCTGGAACCATGAAGATGGATACAAAGACAGAGCCGAAGATGCTAAGGACTAACTTTGCTGGGATCTTGCTATACACCGAGCATGTGCTTTTAATGTGGCCTCTTTCCCCTCATCTTCACTGAAGCCCTAGAAGGGGGCACTAACTGCATTCCATCCTTTAGATGAAAAAAAAATAGCCCCTGTAAGAAGTTGGAGCACTTGCTTTGCACAAGGAAGAAACAGGAGACAAGACTGGTGGTTTACTCTGGAGCTCTCTCTCCCTGGATGTTTCTGAATTGTCTTTCTCAGCCAGCTTTCAGCCTCCTAAGATAAAGTTCACAGTCTCCGAATGACCCTGTCGCAGCTGCTAGCCTCACCTCCCTGCCAGGGCTCTAGTGTCTTTCTGCGGCAGCCTCAGCGTTTGTCCTCATTTACTGAAGTACTAGGTGTGTGCCTGCCTCGGGGCCTTCGCACACTCCATTACAGATCCCGACTACTGTTCTCTTATCTTCCTCCTCTTTTACCCAGCTAAGCCCTCTACCCAATGTCTCGAGTCAAGCCCCACCAGCACATCCTCTATCAATCCCTGGACATCTCCCACCAGTACATCCTCTATCAACCCCTGGACCTCTTCCCAGGCTTCGCACTAAGATCTAAAGCTCTATGATCACGTGTTTGATGCCTCCTTAGTCTCTGGGCTGTCTGCTCTAACAAGACAGGGCCAGGAGGGGCTTGCAGAATACCATAGGGCCATCCTGGGTGACAGGGTGATGCATGCTTGGTGTTGAGCCAGCCTGTGTTGGGGGAGGATGACATTATTGGGACATGATGCCGCCCTGTCCCCTGAGCCAGCCCAGGTCATGCATTTGTAATTAGCTTCAGGTGGCTGCTCCAGAGACAACACTTGGCCCTCAGACTGTACACACCACCTGACTTGGAGGGACCATGGCCTACCCTGAGCAGCAGCCCTGGAGGATGGTGGGAGTGGGGCCAGGAATCTATTTGTTTAGGAGTAAATGCAGTCTGCCATCTGAGTGGCTTTGGTAGTGCTAAGAGGACTCCATGGGAACTGAGTGTTTTGGGACAAGATGTGACATCAAGATAGGTTGGAGTGGTTGGCAGTCATTTGTAACCACAGCAGTTGGGAGGCCAAGGCTGAAGGAATGTTGTGAGTTCAAGGCTAGCCTGGCTGCATAGAGAGGCTATGCCTCAAAAGCTAATGAGGACAAGGGAGATGGTTCAGTAGCTAGTGTGTTCACTGTGCAAGCATGCAGACCTGGGTTCAGATCCGCAGCACCATGTAAAAAGCACCAGCCTGTAATCCCAGTGATTGGAGAAGCTGATACAAGAGGGCCTCTGGGGCTTACTGGCCAAGTAGCCCAGCCTAACAGCAAGCCCAGGCTTGGTGAGAGACCCTGTCTCCAAAAGCAAGGTGGAGAGTGATTGAGGGAGACATCGACATCAGCCTCCACATACACATGTATGTGTACCTACATGTACATGCGTACACATGCACGAACACATACATACGGCACACACACATGCACATGCACACGCACACAAAGCCAAACAGCCCACTGGTATTTTTGTAGTCATAAACCTTCCAGAACCTTCCAAAGCAGTGCACCCAGTTCAGCCTTCCATGTACTCCGCCATCTCTCCCATCTTGCTGCTCACTCACCACCCACGTTGTTGCGGTAGGTGTTGTACATCTCCTTCACCCGGCGGTAGCGGAAGGCTAGTTTCCTCATCCAGTCCACACCACCATGCACACCTGTACCCAGGCACAAGCTGGCCCCAGGTGCCGTGCTGTGGAAACCATCAGTGGAAAAGTTGTATGTGCTGGAGAGACAGAAGCGTGGTGGCATTAGTGTGGGGAGACCCACGTCCCTGGGCCCATGGTGGGCCTTGGGGTATTCATGAGTCCCTGGACACACTCAGGGTGCCTGAACGTGTATATGGAGGGGGAAATTTCTCTTTAGATTTTGAAGAAGGCTGTATCCTTGCTGGGGTCGAGTAGAACCCTTGGTTCTGTCGTAGGTATCAGACTGTACCCCTAAGTTCTTTTGGGGAACTATCTCTGCCCCTGAATTTAGTGGCCAAGCTTGATAAGGTCCCATCTTTGCCCCATAGAATTCCAAGTGACAGTTAACTGTGTTTACTGAGGGCCAGAGTGTTTGTAACCTTGAGTTTGACCATATCAGCATTCCTCTCTTATTCCTAAAACTAAACAATATGCCTCAAATGTATTCATTTACAAAAGAAATTCCTGAAGCCAAGAGGTATAAGTAAACTGGCTCATGTATCCTTATGTGATTTTTAACCTTTGCTTAAATTTTGAGTTTTTCTTAATCTTTCAACCTTATAAATTATACTCCTGAATGTACTCAGTCAGCCACAGGATCTTACAGATGTCAACAACTGTCTATCTGCAATCAATCAATCTGAAGTCACTTATTAATCATCTGTTATTTTTCATCTGTCAGACATCTGTCTCTTGATTATCTATTATCTATCATCTACCCATCTACTATATATCAATCATGTCAATAATTCATCAGTCATCAATCTATTATTCAGTCAGTCATTATTTGTTATCTATCATCTAAATCAACTAATCTATTATCTATATCCATCTACCATCTATCTATCCGTCTATTTATCAACTATCAACTATCTATTGATCTATCTACCTATCAATCTATCAATCTTCAATTAATCTAGTAATCATTCTTCCTTCCCTCCCTCCCTCCCTCCCTCCCTCCTTCCCTCCTTCCTTTCTTTTTTGTTTTTTTGAGACAGGAGTTTTCTGTGTAGCCTGGGCTGTCCTGGAACTCACTCTGTAGACCAGGCTGGTCTTGAACTCACAGAGATCCGCTTGCCTCTGCCTCCTGAGTGTTGGGATTAAAGGAGTGCGCCACCATTGCTCAGCTGTCTTTCTACTATTATAAAATCATCAGTTTTCAACTATCTCTCTATGTATCTAGCTCTCTATCATTTATCAGTCATCTATCTATCTATTTATCTGTTGTCAATTGCTTATCTATCTATCTATCTATCTATCTACCTATCTGTATATCATCTATGTACTTACCTATCTCATGATAAGGACAATTAAGTTGGCCTCTCCTTTGAATTTTATTATTTCCTTAATCATCTGTCTATCAGACTTTGTACTTAAAATCTGGGGCTGAGGAGATGGCTCGGTGGGTGAGTGCCTGCTGGGCAAGCACGAGGACCTAAGTTTGGATCCTCAGCACCCATGGAAAATGCAGTCAGTGCATGGAGGCCTATGACCTCAGTGCTGGGGGCAGGGTGCTTCAGAGGCAGAGACAGAGGATCCTGGGGGTGTTGGCCAGTCAGCTTAGCTGAAATAGTAAGCTCAAGGTTTACTGAGAGATCTCATATCAAAAATAAAACAAGGTGGAGAGTGAAGAGGAAGGCATGTAACGTGTGGCTCTACACATACGTGGTCAGATGAACATATCCGCACACACTAAAATGAATTTAAACAATCCATGTTGGCTTGTCCTTTCTATGGTAGAGACAAGAGTCCAGTTTGGCTTGTGTGGAGGGAACTCCTCAACCTGGAGCAGGAGTGGGGGGCAGTCTCTGCCACAGACAGTGAGAGCATCTCTTTCCTAGGTTACTGTGAACACTCTGGGGTTAAGCCTGTGCCGAGCCAGCATCCCATCACCTCGTTGGAACCCTAGTCTCTATTCTTCTTAACTTACTGTGAGAGGGTCCTGCCAGGCTGTCCAGGCTGGCTTTGAACTTCCCATCACCTCGTTGGAACCCTAGTCTCTATTCTTCTTAACTTACTGTGAGAGGGTCCTGCCAGGCTGTCCAGGCTGGCTTTCAACTTCCCATCACCTCGTTGGAACCCTAGTCTCTATTCTTCTTAACTTACTGTGAGAGGGTCCTGCCAGGCTGTCCAGGCTGGCTTTGAACTTCCCATCACCTCGTTGGAACCCTAGTCTCTATTCTTCTTAACTTACTGTGAGAGGGTCCTGCCAGGCTGTCCAGGCTGGCTTTGAACTTCCCATCACCTCGTTGGAACCCTAGTCTCTATTCTTCTTAACTTACTGTGAGAGGGTCCTGCCAGGCTGTCCAGGCTGGCTTTCAACTTCCCATCACCTCGTTGGAACCCTAGTCTCTATTCTTCTTAACTTACTGTGAGAGGGTCCTGCCAGGCTGTCCAGGCTGGCTTTGAACTTCCCATCACCTCGTTGGAACCCTAGTCTCTATTCTTCTTAACTTACTGTGAGAGGGTCCTGCCAGGCTGTCCAGGCTGGCTTTGAACTTCCCATCACCTCGTTGGAACCCTAGTCTCTATTCTTCTTAACTTACTGTGAGAGGGTCCTGCCAGGCTGTCCAGGCTGGCTTTGAACTTCCCATCACCTCGTTGGAACCCTAGTCTCTATTCTTCTTAACTTACTGTGAGAGGGTCCTGCCAGGCTGTCCAGGCTGGCTTTGAACTTCCCATCACCTCGTTGGAACCCTAGTCTCTATTCTTCTTAACTTCCTGTGAGAGGGTCCTGCCAGGCTGTCCAGGCTGGCTTTGAACTTCCCATCACCTCGTTGGAACCCTAGTCTCTATTCTTCTTAACTTCCTGTGAGAGGGTCCTGCCAGGCTGTCCAGGCTGGCTTTGAACTTCCCATCACCTCGTTGGAACCCTAGTCTCTATTCTTTTTAACTTACTGTGAGAGGGTCCTGCCAGGCTGTCCAGGCTGGCTTTGAACTTACTCTGCAGTGCAGGCAGGCTTTGTTCTAGCCAGCCTTCTCCTTAGCCCCCTAAGAGTAGGCAAACGCTGTACCACTGAGCTGTGTCCCAGCACCTGAGAAGGAGTTTTTGTTTTCTTGTTTTTTTGAGAAGGAGTTTTGACTCCTCAAACTCTTTGTTTCTTTGTTTCTTTTCTTTTCTTTTCTTTTCTTTTTCTTTCTTTCTTTTTTTTTTTTTTTTTTTTTTTTTTTGCAAGATCTCTTGACACAGTCCTGGCTGTCCTGGAACTCATTATGTAGACCAGGCTGGCCTCAAACTCACAGAGATCCTTCTGTCTCTGCGTCCCGAGTGCTGGGATTAAAGGCATGAACAACCGTGCCTGGCTGGACTCCCCAAATCCTTACCTCAGATCCTGGCCATTGTCGTCAGATGAGACATCATCCACGTGGATTTGGTCACAGTCCTTGTGGAAATGTGATAAGGACAAGATGTGCTGGTTAGTCCAAAGTGCAGCTGACATTTTGGTTTGCCTTTTGAGACAGGGTCTAATGTAGCCCGGGCTGGCCTTGAACTTGCTACATAGCCGAGGATGACTTTGAACTTCTTACCCTCCTGATTCCAGTTCCTGAGCACCAGATTATAGCTGTGCACCACCACACCTACTGATAGGTCAGGGCTTCACGCCTCCTAATCAAACACTCCCAACTGGGCTACATCCCAGCATCCCAGCCTAGTGGCTCCCTCTGTCTGTCTGTCTGTCTGTCTGTCTGTCTGTCTGTCTGTCTATATATCTATCTATCCATCCATCTATCCATTTATCTATCATCTATTTGTTTTTCAAACTTGCTCTGTAGACCAGACTGGTGTCAAACTCATAGCAAGCCACCTGCCTCTGCCTCCTGAGTGCTGGGATTAAAGGCGTGCACCACCACAGCCTGGCTGGTGTTGGTTTTAAGAGTGTGTTTCCTAAGCTGAGAGTGGCTGAGCACTGGGGCTAGAATTCTTGGGGTCCGGTCTGGGTTTTGTTACAAAAGGTTAGGGCCTTGGCTTAGGTATCGACAGCTTTCTCTCTGGTTCCCATATGAATGAGCACATGACCATGAGGACAAATTCCAGGTAAATGAGCAGCTTAACTGAGTGAGCTTTGCAAATGAAAAGGGGTGACTAACGTGGCATTGGGGGGACTCCAAGGCTCCCCAAGTCTCAGTACCTGGTCATCAGGTCGGTGTTAATTAACTTTCACCACAGTGAGATCGGTTGCATCCAGGCTTTAGCCTCTGCAGGTCACCCTCTGCTCCATAAGCCATGTGCCTTAGTTTCCCTTCCGTCCTTAATCCCATATTAATAGCCACATGGACATGAGGACGCTGTAAAGCAAGGCGCACAAATTTCTCCCAACCCAGAAAATCCTATGAATAGCACTGCTATAGGAGAAAGGAAGTAAGTCAACATCTGATCCTGGACTGGCTTAGCGAGCCCTTCCAGGGAAGGGCTTGTAAACTCGCCTAGCTGTAGAGTCTGCTCTGTGCTGCAAAGCATGTGTGTGTGTGTCTGTGTGTGTCTGTGTGTGTCTGTGTGTGTGTATGCACGTGTGAGTGCACTTGCACACGCATATGTGTCTGTGCATGCATGTGCACTCATTTGTGCCTGTGTGCACATGCTCACTCATGTGCATACACACTTGTGCACGCACCCACGCAGGTGCATGTAACGGCCAAGGGGGATGTTGTGATGGCTCTCTTTCTTCTTCTTCTTCTTCTTCTTCTTCTTCTTCTTCTTCTTCTTCTTCTTCTTCTTCTTCTTCTTCTTCTTCTTCTTCTTCTTCTTCTTCTTCTTCTTCTCCTCCTCCTCCTCCTCCTTCTTCTTCCTCTTCCTCCTCCTCCTCCTCCTCCTTCTCCTCCTCCTCCTTTTCTTCTTCTCCTCCTCCTCTTCTTTTTTAAATTAATTAATTTTATTTTTGTGTGCATTTGTGTTTTGCCTGCATGTATGTCTTTGTGAAGGTGTCGAATCCCCTGGAACTGGAGTTACCAATCGTGTGGTCTTCCATGTGGGTGCTGGAAATTGAATCTGAGGCCTGTGCTCTTAACAACTGAGCCATAGGTCCAGCCTCTCCCAAAGCATTTTTGAAATGACTGCCAGCATTTAAGGGAACCTCTTTTTGAGTTCCAGGACCGTGTCATTTGGAACTGAACTTTGCCCTAGGGCCTGGAGGTTCAGCAGTTTCTTCTGTGGTCCCATCTGGCTTAGCCTCACTTGACCGTACTGTTTATTTGGCTCTTGTAGACACCTGAGTTTGAGGTCTTCCCCTCATAGGCATCCTGTATGAGGAAGGGTCCCAGGGTCAGCCATCCTGACAGGCTGATGAATTGCTTTTTTCTTCTGAGTCTTATGTAGCCTAAGTTGGCCTCTAGCTCACTGTGCAGCCAAGGATGAAGAACTATTTATAGATCCTTCTGCCTCCACCACCAGAGGGCTGGGAACACAGTATAGGCATGTGCCACCACGGTTTGTTTATGTGGTGCCAGGGATGGAACCAAGTTTCGCGCACGCCAGGCAAGTGCTCTGCCAACTGAGCAGCGTCCCTAGCCACCTAATGATTTGCATTTGATATGCAAGACTGACTTTACAGACCCGGGCATGAGAAAACAAACAATGCACCACGCACCTGGTACAGGATATCCCTCTCTCAGGCCTGAGAGCCCTGCGGGGGTCAGACAGCACCCCTGCCCCCCTCCCCTGGCAGGTTCCCAGGGTTTCCCTGACATCAGGGGAAAGGCATGTGAGGAGACTCTGCTTTTCTCATTTGTGAGGGGATTGTCGGGGGCGCTAAAGTGTGACAACAGTAGCGATCACATTTCGGACTTCATAAGGCGCCGTGACACATGCTAGACGCTACGTCATACTCCACCAGCTGACCTGGATCAAGTTACCCTCCAAGCCATTGGTGCCAGGGCCACTGGACAGTGCAGAGGACAGGGGACCTGGCTGAGCTTTTGTGGAGGAAGACTGGTGTCCCTAATTCTGCTGTGCACCCCACCCCACCCTGGGTGTGTGGGGCAGCGCTCAAAGCTGGACGGGAGGCACATTCCAGGGCCTGAGGGAAAACTGCTCTGTCAGGTCATAGAGGCAGTGGGACCAACCGGCAAAGACAGGCAAAGGGTTCCCATGGCCTTGACACAGGTGAGGTGATGTGGGTTAGGGAACCCGTGCAGACAGCAGCCATACGATGCCAGCGTCTTGGTGTAGTGAGTGAGGGCTACCCCTCCCCTCCACCTACTGGAGCAGAATGGAATGAACGGTGGCATGCCCATTTGGGGAACTCCAACCTCATAGTCCAGAAGACCAGGGCAGGTCCTCCAGTTTACTCACAGAAGGGCTCCAAGGCATTTGAAATTGTGGAAAAGTGACTAAGAAGGACACATTCATTGTGGAATCATGCATGTAGTGACAGCAACCTACTAAGATACTTAACACATTAAAAGGACAAATATATATAATACTTAAGTGGCAAAAGAACAATCTAGAAGTTTATGCATCTGGGAGGAAACAGCAGGTCCACAGGGAAGAAGCTGAGGTTGGCCTGGAGGGCAGTGGAGGAATTAGCCTTAGCTGAATGTTGTCAACAAATTAATGATAGAGGTGACAATAAACATGTGTGCTGGGGTGTGGCTCAGCCGGATGTTCCTGTGCAGCTTGTGCAAAGATCTGATTTCAGTCCCCAGTGCCACCACAACAACGTAAAGACTGGGGAGTGGCCTGGTGGCAGAGTGTTTGCATTATGAGGCTCTAGTTTTGTTCCTCAGAACAGGAAAAAAAAGGGCATGCATGCTCATATGCACACACACATGCACACATACACACATGCGCACATATGCACACATACACACATACACACATACACATATACACATACACACATGCATACATACACATGCACATATACAAATACACACATGCACACATACACACGTACACCCATGCACATACACACATATACACATGCACATACACACAGAAATACACACATGCACACATACACACATGCACACATACACAGTGCATACATACACATGCACATATATACATACATGCACACATACACACATGTACACACATATGCACACACATGCACACATACACTCACATGTACACACATATGCACACACATGTACACATACACACATATGCACACACATGCACACATACACACATGCACACATACACAGTGCATACATACACATGCACATATATACATACATGCACACATACACACATGTACACACATATGCACACACATGTACACATACACACATGTACACACATATGCACACACATGCACACAAACACACATGCAGACATACACAATGCATACATACACATGCACATATATACGTACATGCACACATACACACATGTACACACATATGCACACACATGCACACATACACTCATATGTACACACATATGCACGCACATGCACACATACACACATGCATACATACACACGCACATATATACACACATGCACACACATGCACACACATGCACATATACACACATGCACATGCACATATACACATACATGCACACACACGTACACACATATGCACACACATGCACATATACACACATGCACACATACACACATGCATACATACACACACATATATACACACATGCACACACATGTGCATATACACATACATGCACACACATGTGCATATACACATACATGCACACATACACACATATACACACATGAGGAGGGGAGGGGTTATAGGCATATGCATCGCTTTTGAATAAATGATTGAAAATATCTTCCTGGGAGGAGACAAGACCTGACATGCTCTATGAGCATCACTGTGGCAGGGACTCTGCCCGGACCTTTGCACAGATTGAGAGACTCTCATCATCCCACCTTACATGGGAGGAAATGAAGCAGAGAGCACTGGGGCCCGTGATGGGTTGAACTGTCCCATTCACAAAAGAAGCAGAGCTGGAGCCTTAACCTCCAGTGTCAATGAACGTATTTGGAAATCATGGCACCAAATGACTCTGATGAGTCCCTAGGTTTGGACCTTTGCCTGTATCACCCTGCATGCGATCACCCTGCATGCGCTGATTTGGTCTGACTTGGGAAGCTAAGCAGGGTCAGGCAGATTAGCACTTGGGTGGGAGAAAAGTGCCGTTCTGACAGAGACCATGGGCACAGAGGAAGAATGCTACAGAGATGGGTTCCCAGGCACGCCCGAGACCACCGGGAGCCGGGAGCCTGTGTCCCACAGAGCCCTGGCTTGGCCACTGCAGACGGGTCCTGTCTGCGCACACGGTACTTGGAGTTTTCTGCTCGGGACACGTGTCCACCTCCTCGCCTACTCATTCACAGTTGTTATCTCCGTCAGCACGCGCCTGTAGGTGCGTATTCCGTATTTTGGGTTGGAATTCTATATTCATTATTTACCA